TCCCATACAGAAACACAAAGAGGTGATACTTGTACCTACAGATGAATATATTATAAGAGAGGCAGATTAGTTTGCATTTTCTAGGATTTTATATAAATGGAACCATACAGTATGTATTTTTTATCTGGCTTCTTTCACACAGATTTGTATGTATTGTTGTGATATCAATAATTCATATCTTTTTATTGCTGAGTAGTATTCCATTGTATGAATATACTATAATTTATCTATTCACCTGGGGAACATTTGGGATATTCACAGTTTTTTGGCTGTTACAAAGATGTACACAAATGATCATAGCAGATTTATCTATAAGAACATATGCTTTCACTTCTCTTGTATAAATCCTATTGATTTTTGACTCACATGTCTCTTACATATATTATATTTAATTTAGTTATCCCTTGGTATCTGTGGGGGATTAGTTCTAAAACCCCTGCTCAGATACCAAAATCTGCAGATGCTCAAGTCCCTTTTAGTAGGCCCTCTGTATTTGTGTCATCTGTGGACACAAAGGACAACTGTATAGATAAATGATTATATATTATGTATTATACATATCATACAGATATTATACATTTCCATATTTTAGAGAATCATAAAATATATTAACCTTTGGAGAGAGGTACTATGTGAAGAGAGGAGAGTGGCTTTTACTTTTCCTTTTGTATTTTTTGTTTGAATTTGAACTTTTATCTGATTTATATATATTATGTAATATATATGAATCTTTAATTTCTAAACTATGTCAGCAGGAACTACTGTGCAAGGAAATGAAGCCTTATTTTTTGTTTTGCTTTATTTTTTGTCTCTTTCTGTATTTAAGACAACTAATAAATTTTTTTAAGTAGAAAAGAGGAAAATCTCTGAGGCTACTCTTGGTTCTTGGTATCACCTTTCAATGTCATCTTCTACCATTCCTTCCATGTACCTCAGGTTCTAGTCATGCAGAAATATACTAGTAATGTGCCAAGTTCATGAACTTCTTGGTGCTCCTTTCCCATTAGTCTTGATGAATTCTTACTTGTTCTTTTCTATGATGTCTTCTATTCCGCTCTACCCCACTGTCTCCCTTTGCACTTGATGCTTCCTCCTCTGTGTTCCTACAGTGCTTCATAAATTACTGCGTTTATCACATTGTAGCTGAGCATGTTACAAATCCCAACAATGCGTATCAATTAGAATTTCCTCCTGCAGTTGTCTCTACAAGTCATTATCTTAACATTTGCGATTATCTGTTTTTCTTTTTTTAATTTTATTATTTATTTATTTTTTCCAGCATATTGTGGGGGTAAAAATGTTAAGGTTACATATGTTGCTCCCCCTTTAATCACTGTTCTAATGGATATGTAGAAATTTACTAACGTACAACTGTAGCCATAATTATGTTGATGCCTATAAGTAGTCAAGTTGCTAAATGGCAGTTAGTAAAAAATTACATCATGAGAACTAGAAGTTTAGATGCCTGAAAAAGTCACAAACTGGATAACAATTCCCCAAAAGTTGACCATAATTTAAAAGATTTTACTAAATAACTAGAATATCAGCTTTTACAGGATGAAATTCTAAACAAAAGTCTTATAATCCATGTTAATGGAAGAATGTGCTCTTTATCTTATAAAATGTTGCTTGTTTTGTAAAGCCTTTTGGAAAAAAAAACATATTTCAAATGATATTTTTACTGGGTGATTAAAATATTGGCATAGAAACCTGAGTTCCATTCTCTGCAATAGAGTTGCACAATTCTTCAATATCTAGTAAAGTTAGAGAAGCAACTGGTAATTTGTTGATACTTCTGCCAGTTGTCTTATGCTAATTTTTTAAAGCAATAGTGTTAGAAAGCTTTAGAGATAAGGAGAGGAAAAGCATATCTGGCTAATTAGACATCATTTTGTAAGCCACACAGTTAGCATTTTTATAGGGCGAAATAATGAATCTCTATAGCTATTTCTGCCCAAGAATGGCAAAGTATTTTATAATCTTTCAGTAAACTAAAAGGAGGACAAGAGAGGATTAGAACAAAGACATTAAGAGACTTCACCATCATGAGAAAAATTAAGTTCTGGAAATGAGGGATCTCATGCAGACAAACAATTTATTGCTGGGCACTGTCTACGTACCACACTGATGATGACAATCTGGCTAAACACATATTATAAAAACTTAAGAATAAACAAAAAAATATTAAAGAGCAAATTTCAGCTTTTTTACCTCTTTCAAATCTTTCTACACTAAGATAAATACAGCTAATTGGCAATGTCCCTCTCATAGAATTTTTACAAATTTTTGACTCTCCATGCAATTTATGAAGTCATGTGAAATACACCATCAAAGCTTTCCACAAAGTCTAAAACAGTTTCTCTTCCTACGCACAGCTAACACTATCTATGATATGTATAGCTGAGGGGTGGCTTGGGCCACATGATTCTGGATGCCTTTTTTTTTCTTTTAGACACAATTACATTTCTAGTTGAATAAAAGGTTTCTGATCTATCACTGAAAAATATATATTGCCAGTTGTTAGCAAATAATGATAAAGGTTGTTTACACAATCTATATATTAAAGAGAACCACAGATTATAATTCTGGAAGAAATGAGACTTTGAGATATTAATAAGTTTAAAATGTTTTGTGGCTGGCCTATATTGCCATCTCATGTGGATTTTTTTTGAGTATTTCTTTATTAAAAAAATTTTTTTTTAATTTTAGCGTATTATGGGGGTACAAGTGTTAAGGTTACATATATTGCCCATGCCCCCTCATGTGGATCTTGCTTTCTCTAAATAAAAGCCCTTCACCTATTTTGGGGGTAACCTCTCCTATGACAACATTATACCCTATAACAGAATAAAAAAAATTATTATTAGATTTACTAAATTGTTTATTTTTGTTTAAAGCTGATTTCACAGATTTGTTGGTTCATGCATACATTCATTAATGAGTTCACTCAACCAACAACTATGGAGCATCTACTGGAGTCTTTTCAGTTCCTAATCTCAAAGTTTACATTCTAGTAGTTAGACCAACATATATATATAATAGCTGTACATAATACAAAATAGACTGCTGCCAACACGAACAGAGAATACATATAAAGCACACAGAGGGTTTAGAGAAAGAAGCAATTACTTGTGGCTGGGAGAGTAAGGGGATGATGATTGGGGAAAACTTCATGAAGGAGGAAGTATCTGAGCTCAGTCTGGAAAAGTGCCTATGAATTAGATGGAGATGGTTTGGTAGTTACCATAGCGTTTTTTACTAACTGGTGGTTAGTTACATGCACTCCTGATGACTTTTGGAGATTAATAGCAAAATATTAAATTAACCAAGGCTTGGTTTCATTTTTTCTTCCCATAGTCCATTCAGTTCTGGCACTGGTTTGAAAGTACAGGATTCAAATAAGGAGGGAGCACTGGGCTAATACAGAGGCAGAATAGTTTTGGGGTATGTTTGGGCCTAAGGGAAGCCTGAGGAAGGCTGAACAGGGTTTAACCAAATGAGATCCTTGATTAATACAATGAAAAAAAAAAACAGATCTAAGGGAATTCATAAAATATAATGGGGAGCAATAAGGAAGGAGGTAGTACAGAACGTTAATGTTAAGTAGTACCTGAGATTCACAGCCTCGAATTAACACTGTTCATTGCGACTGACTATATATAGTTCAACGCATTAAAACAAACATCTCTATCTCCTGAATGCTCAGTGCCTTTCCAAATAACAGAGCCAGAATTTTCTTAGAAATGATGATAGCTTAGTTAGGAAGTAAATTGGGAGGTACTATAAGGTTAGTAGCTATGTTTTCCTATTTATATATAAGCAAAGATTTATATGCTTCTCTTCTGGAAAGACTCAATTTGCCTGGTACTTTTCATAAGTTATTGCATTCTAAGATTCTAATATGAGATGGTAGTTGGGGATTAACCTTTTTAGAAGACCCTAGGAAAGAAATGTGCTGTCATTATATAAAAGTGAATAATCTTAAAAAATTAATATTAAAATCTTCTGCATTTGCTGATCTTTCAGATAAGCCATTCCCCTCATAATTGTACCTGATGCCAGATGCTGAGACAGATGTGTTCCAGAGGTAAGAACAAAGAATAATGGTGTAGAACAGGTAGGATAGAGAAATGGCAATGGCAATGGCAATGGCAAGAAGAAGCATTACACTATCATCTGTATAACAAATAATTATCAGTGAGATAAATCTATCCAGGCATTCATCAGGAAAGTAACAAAGACAAACATAACTTTGATTTTGTAGTCTGGACAAAGTCCAGTTGATGATACATTTTGAAAATGTCAGAATGTTCAATTATTCTGCAAAAGCTCCTAGTCTGAATTATTAAACAGCAACTTAGCTGTATTAAAAATATCTCTTGACATCAATTCTGAGTAGCCCCTAAAGAATAATGACTTCATGTTTCAGAGACTTAACCTTCTGTATCATTTCTGTATAAATGACTTTGCCAGTGGTGTTTGAGTTATTCTTTAGAAATGTAGGTACCTGGTGATTCTTCTATGAAATGAGAGCAAGGGTATTGTGAAAATACTGAACTCATGGAAGAGGAAGCTGAATTCTTACCTGCCTGTCACTCCCACAAACTGTAGATCATGATTTCTGATAATTATACTGAAATATACTTCAATTAAATAATGTTTTTTAAAACTACATTTTCAAAAACTAAAACCTCAAACTAGAATTCTTTCAAAGACTTACGATGTAAAGCAACAGACTTTTAATAGTTGATGATATATTTTATAGGCTATTTCTGATTTTATATATGTTTTTGTATATTTTGGGAGCAGAACTAAGCAATCACTTAAGGAAGTTGGACTTTGCCTCAGGTTCAAAAAATACATACATGTGTATACCCAAACACAAAAGAACAGCTTAGTCAAACAAGATGAATGGAAAATTTAAATACCTTTAGAGCAGGATTTATTTTCATTTCAATATATACCCCAATAAAATGATTATTTTTTTAAAAAAACCTTACCTGCTACTGAATTTGGCCGTGGCATGAGATACAAAGGAATAGACTGTACTGATTGAGATAGAACAGTTTCCAAATTCCTCTCTGGGATCTTATTCAGACTATAGGTAGAAGCAGTCATGTTTTCATCTACTCGATACAAACAGGAGTCCATGCTGGATTTTTGAGACTGCCAAGGTTTTAGGTTTCCTCCAGATCCTAATTCTTTACTGCTTTCCCCAGCATATTTTGTGCGTTCCACATTTTCAGAATAGCTTGTCAATGTAGCTGGAAAAAAAAAAGTAAAATGAATTTAAAAGAAAATATAAAGGAGAGATTAATCTGTTTATGACTATCTAAATCTATAACTAGATGAGAGTATTAGTAACATTATTTAAAAAAGTTACCGATAAGCATTTCACCTCTATAATGAAGTATAAATAATTGAAACCAAAATACAACTACCTCTCACATATATTTAACAATACTATTTAAATAAATTAAACAAATTCATACATCAATACTAAAGGACCTAGAGCTAGGCCTATCAGTATTAAAATTTTTAGCATTTCATCAAAAGGGAATTTATATAATTTTCATGGATTGCTGGGGAGTCTCAAAGTCCCCAAAAGTTGTCTATATTTTTTATCCTATTCCTTATCCCACTTAAGTTTATTTCCTGGCCTTGTATATGTAATAAAGAATTAGAATAAAACAAACAGTCCCTAAGTAGAAACAAATATAGGAGAAAGAACCTTCCCAAATAAGGAAGCAATACAGGCCCTTCTTGTACAGATCACCACTGTACCTCTAACCCTAAACATGTTAAGTCCCTTAATAAAATAAAAAACTAAAAGGTCTTCTGGAATTTTATCTAGTCTTACAACTAATTATACATGAAAAGGAAAATTTTCATCAACTCCAGAAATGAAAAGATTAAAAACATTAAAGTCTAGATTATAAAAATTTTTTAGCAATAATTATATAAGAATAAGGCTGGGTGTGGTGGCTCATTCCTGTAATCCCACCACTTTGGGAGGCTGAGGTGGGAGGGTCTCTTGAGGTAAGGAGTTCGAGATCAGTCTGGGTAACACAGTGAGACTCTGTCTCCATGAAAAATAAAAAAACATTAGCTGGGTGTGGTCATGGGTTCTGGAGGCTGAGGCAGTAGATCACTTAAGCCCCACAGTTGGAGACTGCAGTGAACTGTGATCACATCACTGTACCCCAGCCTGGGAGACAGAGCAAGACACTTGTCTCAAAAAAAAAAAAAAAAAGTCATAAAACAAGAATATAAGATGTCATCCCAGGAGGAGAGTTTTTATTTATTTTTTTTACATTTGTATTCACTCTATTGATTTTTTGCTTAGGAAACAGAATTGCTAAAGACAAAATATAAACTTTAAAAAATGACATTTCAATATAACTTTCCAAACTGGTTGCTCCAAGTTATAATATCACAAGTATTGTGTGACTATTTGATGGCACATCCTTGTTAGTATCTGTATTATTTGATATTTGATTATATATTTGATATAAACAAATATTTTGATTATTTTGGTTGTTTTGTATTTACTTATAATTTTTATCTCTTTTGTGTGAAGTCACTGTTTATATCATTTGGCCATTAAACTACTGGGGTTACTTTCGTACACACTTAAATATAGATATCAACCCTTTTTTACATTTAATGAAAATGGGTTTTCCCTTCAATTGAATGGAAGTTTTGTGATTTACATATTTGTGATTTTATAAGTTTTTGCATATGTGGATAGTTTTTAAAATTCTTTTTAAATTTCAGAATATTAAGGGAGTAGAAACACTTTGATTACATATATTGCCTTTGCACCACCCAAGTCAGAGCTATAAGCATGCCCAACCCAGAGAGTGTGCACTGCACCCATTAGGTGTGAATATACCCATCTCCTCCTCCCCCTCCCACCTACCCAAGACCCAATGCATGTTATTTCCTGTATGTGCATGTAAATGTTGATCAATTAGTGCCAATTTAATGGTGACTACATGTGGTGCTTGTTATTCCATTCTTGCCATACTTTACTTCAAAGAATGGGCTCCAGCTCCATCCAGGATAATACAAGAAGTATCATTTCAGGAGAGTTTTTTTATGTTAGTTCATTTTCTCTTCTTATACTTCAAATGTGCCTTTTGCCAAAAGAAAAAACCTAACCCTCATGAGGTTATTTCCACAGTCCTTTTCAGTGAGGTTCTTTCTCTGCAAATTTAAATGGAATTCTAGATTTTTTGTAACAAGAGGAAAAGATGAATTATAAATTTTTCTTTAAGACAGAAAATCTGACTTTGTTGTCACAAAAAAATAAAAGGCTATGAAAAAGACACCTATGAACTATAAAAGGTAGAGAGAACTAGGAAAAGGGAAAATTTTCTAAACTCAATCCTCAGGATTAAAAGAGAGGAGGCCATGTGCTTTGGGGCCCTCCTCAGAAAGGAAATCAGAACTATCACAGAATACCTTTGGAACCCTTACAAGATTCTGAAGCTAAGCTTCCATATTAGCATCTTCTATTTCTGCGGTCCCCAACCCCTAGGCTGCTGACCGGTTAGGAACTGGGCTGCAGTGCTGTCTGATCTCCCTTCCCTGCCTGTGGAAAACTGTCTTCCATGAAACTTAGGAACTGGCTGCACAGCATGAAGTGAGTGCTGGTGAGCAAGCAAATCTTGGAAGCTTCATCTGTATTTAGAGCTGCTCCCCATTGCTGGCTCCAATCACCACCTGAGGCCCCCCACCCTCATGTAGGAAAATTGTCTTCCATGAAACCAGTCCTGGAGACAGAAAGGTTGGGAACCGCTGCTCTATTTCCTTCTTAGTGATTATTTGTAAAGCCCTTAAGGAATAGACAATCTATCCTCATTCTGGGGAGACAGCTAACAAAAAGAAGGCAGAGAAAATTATATTCCCACATTTTGGTCCAGTCTTTGGCAACAAGAAACTATAGTAGGTGGTAGCAAACCTGAAAAAGAAAGGAAACCAGTTTCTGAAACACAGAAAATCTTTCAAAAGAAAGAACACAGAGAACAAATTAGGAACTGAAAAGTAACTCCAGGGCCTAACAACTTGAAGGGCAAAGTGATTTTTTTGATAATAAACAAACAAGGCTGGGTCCAGTGGATCACGCCTGTAATCCTAGCACTCTGGGAGGCCAAGGCGGGCAGATAACTCAAGGTCAGGAGTTCGAAACCAGCCTGAGCAAGAGCGAGACCCTATCTCTATTAAAAAATAGAAAGAAATTAATTGGCCAACTAAAAATATATAGAAAAAATTAGCCAGGCATGGTGGCTTATGCCTGTAGTCCCAGCTACTCAGGAGGCTGAGGAGCAGGATCGCTTGAGCCCAGGAGTTTGAGGTTGCTGTGAGCTAGGCTGACGCAACAGAGTGAGACTCTTGTCTCAAAAAAAAAAAAAAAAAAAGAAACAACACCCAAGAAAAAGCTCAGATATGTATTAAGCATGATGTTCCTCCTTCTCTATTAGATTATAAACTTTAATACAAGTAAACATAGTAAATTCAAATTTATTTATCACTTTATAATTTTTAAATTGTATAAATACACATTATCTCATTTGATCACTAATATAACACTCAAAGCAGGGCTAGTATTACTATCTTCATTACATAGAGGAGGAAACCAATGCTTGGAGAGATTAGGCATCTTGCCCACTGGTACATAGCCAGCAAGTAGTCATCCAGGCGACTAATTATTTGGGGTCTTAATCATTTACTACCTCATATTGTTACATAATTTTTTTTGTAGATGTTACCTTGGCCCCTTCATTAAATTGTACATTTCTGGAGAGTAGAAAATGTACTTTAATTTTTTTTCATATTTAGATTTTTTTAAAACGTTTAGCACCCAGCTCTATAATGCCCACATGATAAAAAAGGAATAACAAGGGAGAGCATGAAGGCTAAATAAAGCCCTACTGTCATCTATAAAAATCACAGAAAAATAGTGAGTAGTGAGCATTTAGGTGATCTGGCAGTTTGAGAGGACACTGCAAACATTAACAATGAAATATAATAGCAGCAAAATAAATGGCCTCATTCTTCAGTGCATTTTTTTCTAGCACTTATACTAAAAAATATTTCTACCAAGGATATGAGTGTATATAAGAAATTACTTAAGCAAAGAAAGACAAATTACTTAAGACCTGAGAAATTACTTAAGCAAAGAAACTGCCTACTTTTGGGAGAAACGTATAATGAGAGGACACAGTATTTTAGAGATACTTAAGCTAAGCTCTGAATCCAGTACTGGTGAAGTATTTATATGTCTGCTAGGAGTACAGAACTATACTGTCAGTATTTTAGGATGTGGTTTGTGTTTGTATTAGGGAAAGAGGTGGAAGAGACCAATCAGGCTTTCTATTTTAGGATACTGCCAAACAAACAATTAAATAGATACTGAACTATCAGCTCTTGAGAAAGTTGCATTTTCAATAATGATCAAGGACTTCAATAAAAATCCTTGCAATCCTTGTCCAACTTCCAGTCATTCCAGATAATAATAACATATCCACCTAAATTTGTACTTTTATCTTTATTTTACCCATTGGAAAAAGAGAGAGACCCTGCTTTATGAGAAAGGAGAGAAAAATCTAATCCAAACTTGAGGTTAGGGAATACTCTTGTTGTCTAAATTGAGTCCATCAGGTGAAGATGGGTAAAGAATGTATAATCTAAAGAGAAAAAAATCTGTAAGGGCATAGAGGCAAGAGACAGCAAAGTTCTTTAAGAGAATTAAGTTCAACAGGCTAGAACTTGGGAGTGAGTTGGGGCCAGTGGTTTGCTTATACAGGTTTAACAACTGGCTCTGTGAAAAATAAAACAAGAAACAAAACAAAATTCTGATTCTTAGTGTTTGCTGATCTCCATGGCATAAATACTTGCTTGGTGGCTGACTTCAAGCTACCTATGATTTAATAGCTGGCTCAAAAATTACTGAAACCTTAACAATTGGATATCACTGGTGCTAGCTAGCCACCGCACACTACCAGGTGAAGCAATGGAGAGGAGACATAGTCCAAATTAGAGTGGAACTCATAAACCATATTAAAGGGATTGGATTTTATCTTGCTTAACCTAAGGGCAATTGAGGAAATGATTAAACAGTTTTGAGGGACATGATTAAACTTGCATTTTAAAAAGATTACTTTGGTTTCAGTGAGTAGAATAAATTATGCAAGGTGTTTTTAACACTTGACTACACTAGAAAAAAATTTTTTTTTCCCTTGGGGCCACGATTTTTTATTAGAAAAATAGAATAAAAACTTTGAAAACGAAATGTACCCTTCTAATTTAATGAAAAATTTGTTACTTTTTATTGTTTTCTGTGCATGAGTTATATGAAACTTGAAAAATATTAAATAGTTTTCGCAGCTCTGAAGATGAAGAGACATGAGAGTTACATATGCTTCACAAGGCCCCAGGCTCAAAATATATTCCTAAGTATTTTATTTTGTTGCTAGAGTGAAAGGTATTGTGTCTTTGATTTGATTCTCAGCTTGATTGCTACTGGCGTATATGAAAGCTTCTGATTTCAGTAGCATAAGCATGACATGTTTTTCCATTTATTTACATCCTCTGCCATTTCTTTCCTCAGAGTTTCATAATTCTCCCTACAGAGATCTTTCACCTCCTTAAGTATATTTCTAGGTATTTCATTTTCTTTGTTGCTGGTGAAAAGTACTGCGTCTTTGATTTGATTCTCAGCTTGACTGTTATTGGCATATGTATATGAAAGCTCCTGATTTGTGTACGCTCATTTTGTAGTCTGAGATTTCGCTGATTTTATTTATCAATTACAGGAGTCTCTTGGTTGAATCTTTCGAGTTTTCTAGATATAAGATCATATCATCAGCAAAGAGTGATAGTTTAACCTCTTCTTTTTCCGTTTAGATACCCTTGATTTCCTTCTCCTGTCTGACTGCTCTAGCTAGGACTTCTAACACTATGTTGGACAGAAGTGATAGTGGGCAACCTTGTCTAGTTCCAGTTCTAAGCAGGAATGCTTTCAATTTTTCCTTGCTCAGTATGATGTTGGGTTTGGGTCTGTCATATATGGCTTTAATAATTTTGAGGTATGTCTCATGTATGCCTATTTTATTGAGAGTTCTTATCATAAAATGGTGCTGAATCCTAGTCGACTAGGATCTTCTGTAAAGAAAGGTATTAGAAAATTCACAAGATAAATGAGATAGCAAATTTCTTTGCTTGGATACTTCCAAGTTCTAAATTCCCTTTTGCCCAAGTTTGCCATAAGAACATATTGGGCTAAGATTCCTGAATCATAAGCAAAGAAATACCATTTTTCTACTTTGTGGAAGGTAAAAACACAAGGATGTCTTATTGACAAGAAGAAAAACAAAGTCTGAAAGGGCTCCCAAAACTAATTAAAAAACTGATATTTGTTTTCCCAAATAGATCCCAGAACAACTTGATTGTAAGTACTTAGCCATTTAATCTTAGTCTCCTGTTTTCATAAAACTCTCTATACCAGTGAGGAATTAACTCTCCTGAACCACTTTTGTTGTTAGATAGATGGTATATGTGAATTTACAGGAAGAAGCAGACAATTTTTTTTTTATCTACTCCTTATCAAGTAATGGCCTGAGAAGGAGTAGTTAGGCAGGGAGGCATACCTTTCATTTTTACATTTAAGCTTCTCTTGCCAGCATCATTAAAAAGACCAGAATAAGCTTTATAGACATATCTTAACAACTCAAAAGCAGATTTTTTTAAAACCTTAAACAGTGTAATTATCTTAAAAAAGAAAAAAGTTCACAAGATTAATATAAAAACCAACTCACCAATGATGCCACTATCTCTGCTTTCAAGTGTGGATGTTGGACTAGTAACAGGCCCATAGCTGCAATCCTTGGCAGTTGCATTTGTACTGACTGGTGGGAGGGTAGAGCAGGGGCTACTGGCTGGTGGAGAAGCAGTGCTGCTAGTCAGGGTGGAACAGGGACTTATCCGCTGGGTGATTGCTGAGGTCTGAAAAATTGGAGTCATTAATAATATAAACTGACCAGCTGTTAAAGTATATCTCAAGGTAAAAGCCTTGATGAAAAAAGAAAAAAATAATCTACATGCACAGCTTTTACATTTATTAGGCTCTATTCATTTTTGCTTTCCAGAATAAGAGATTTTGTGTTCTACGATTGAGGTGAAACTTGATGAATTTATCATGAGCAGAGACTATGCCTAGTTTTTCTGCCTAGGGAATTTCCAGTAATAAGTATTCTATCATTGCCATTCATTAAGAGAATAGAGAAATTTTTTTATTAAGCACAAGTTTTCCTTACAATCAATAAAACTTTTCAGAAGGCTTGAAGATGATCTTTTAATAATTTTCTTTAGACAGAGGGAAAAAAATCCCTGCAGCTGAGGTTAAATAAAGTTCTTAATGCAAAAAAGTGTCTTTTTGATACATAGGCAGCTGCCCAGAGACAATAAATAAAAGCAAGGAAAAATGCCTTATTCTAAAAGTTTGTCTAATAAAATAGATTGAATAATATTAATGTAATACAAAACTATAGAATTTCTCTGTAGAGGTTGAACAGTCTGAGATCACTTACCTCCTTTTAAGTTGTGATGCAAAGGAATGAATAATTTATCAAAAAGGTTGATGGTAACATATTCTGGTTTACCTATTTTAATGTTGTTTCATTTTTCCTTAGTTTTCTACCCAAATAAATTATTGAAACAATGAATAAAAGTATATATTTTTAAACACTAAAAAAATTTTATCCTTTTTAAAATGCTAAGTGATTAATGACAAAATTACTTGAAGTAACACTAATGATAAACTTAATATCTTTAAATGTTAAATATAAAAGAATCCTTTTAATTTCTTTACACATAGAGTCTATTTATATTCTCTCTGCTATTTTTTTTTCGGCTAACATTGGATAACTGGAGAATGTATTGCTAACTAGTTATGAGACTATTAAGGCTCCTCAATTCATCCTAAGAGGATTTCCAGGTACAATCCCTTGTAATTAATCATCTGTGTTGAATACACCAGGTCATAAAAGATACATTCTACTAAACTAAGCACAAGTGACATTCTCATTATCCTGCAACCAAATAAATCTTTTCAATCATATAATAATATTAGAGACTGATTTTTCTTAATAACACAAGCCCTCAAATTTATGCAAATTTCTCTTTTACTATATATTATGTCTTCAGAGGAGAGGGGAATTTCAATTTCTTTGTAATCTCTTCTATTTTTATAAAATAATGTTGGTCTACCAAAGCAACGATTCTTAACTAGGCACACATTAGATTCAGATGTGAAATGTAAAAAACAAACAAGCTCTCTCACAAAATTGACAGCTACTGAGCCCCACCCTAGACTTACCAAATTAAAATCCTTCAGGTTAGAAATTTAATAAGCATTTTTTAACCCCTCCACACCTAGTTTGAGGAACATGTTGATAGATGAAATGAACTCTACTCAGGTCCTTTACATTAAATATATCTATAGTCATCTCATATTGAAAAAGTTTTATAACAACCCATTTCTGTTCTTAGACAAGATTCTTATTCTGTTCTTTGTGAGAGTCATATTATACACGCATAATACAGCCAATGGAGAGGTTAAGTCCAAACAACACTTCCTATTTTTACAACAAATTATTTTCTGCAAAATAAAACACCTATCACAGAATGTACACTTTAAAGACTTTAACTGTAAAAGCAAAGCTTAAATATCAAGCTATTTAAAAAAGAAAATTGTTCATGGCTTATGAATTAAAAGATAGGCTTTATATTGATTTAAGGAGGCTAGTCAATGAGATATAGAAGGACAACATTATCTATTCTCCATACTGTAGGCTAAAATGGACATCTAATTAAGCCACTCCACTTCCGAAACCTTTTAGTGGTTTTCCCATTGTACTTAACATTCTCCAGAAGGATCCTAAAAAGGTTCCAATCTGGATCTCTTAAAAGTCCTATTGCCGGGCGCGGTGGCTCACGCCTGTAATCCTAGCACTCTGGGAGGCCGAGGCGGGTGGATTACTCAAGGTCAGGAGTTCAAAACCAGCCTGAGCGAGACCCCGTCTCTACCATAAAAAAAAAAATAGAAAGAAATTAATTGGCCAACTAATATATATATATAAAAATCAGCCGGGCATGGTGGCTTGTGCCTGTAGTCCCAGCTACTTGGGAGGCTGAGGCAGGAGGATGGCTTGAGCCCAGGAGTTTGAGGTTGCTGTGAGCTAGGCTGACGCCACGGCACTCACTCTAGCCTAGGCAAGAAAGCAAGACTCTGTCTCAAAAAAAAAAAAAAAAAAAAAGTCCTATAAATATGCAGGATAAGAACCAAATGATGGAATTCATAAGGTCCATTTTAATATCCTGGAAACTACTGACAGAAGAAAACAGTAAATTAAATATCACTTTTACTACTTCGTCTCTTGCAGAAAAAATAATATATGCTGAGCCGCTTGTATCAGATTCTGTCATCACTAGTATAATTCTGAGGACATTGTCACTATAGGGTCTTAAATATAGCAGTCTAATTTTTTTAGTATGCTGTTTAGCTCAGAAGAAAGTCACCAAATGAGCATGATCCCTTAGTTCTTAATACTCTTTCTAAGACTAGAAATTCAGTGATCAATTTAGCCACCTTCTTATGTGGTTCCAAAATAGTTTCAGGACATATTATATTTCAAAAAGATGATCATTTAGTGTCATTATTAATATCTTACATTTATGTAATGTTTAACAGCTTTAAAACATTTTTGTATATCTCATTGACTCCTTATCAACCTGGTATGAGAGGCATAGTGAATGTTATTTTCCCCATTTAAGAAATTTGAAAAGGAACAGAAAATATGAAAGCTATGAAGTAATTTCCCTCAAATTGTATAGTTCCTGCATATATTTATACACTAATTATATTGTACATTATTTTTTTCTTTTTTTTTTGGTATATTTTTATTTACTATATATTGTTTTCTTTTTATTTATGACAACTGAAGAGTTGGTATACTGCACATTATTTATACTTTTTACTTATATGACATTTTAAAGGTTACAAAGTATTTTCATATTCATGATTTAACTTGATCTGCACAACAATCCTGACGGTGTTATTATTTCATATTACACTGGAATAGTATAGTGTAGCTGTTAAGAACATAGGTTATACAAGCAGACTTAAATACTATCCCATCACTTTCTGTGTGTTTCCATCTTTTCATCTAATAATTAAAAATATGAATGAACCCTACCACACTGGGATGTAAGGACGCTTAAACAAAATAGTGCAAGTAAAAGCAATTAGTGCAATGATTAGTATACAGTGAGCATTTAATAAATTCTCAGTTATTATTACCTATGGAAAACCTAAAGCTCAGAGAGGTTAAGGGACCTGTGCAAATTTACAGAATGGTTGGTGGTAGAGCTGGAACTAGAACACAAGTTTTCTCCCTCCTGGTTCAATGACTTTTCTATTATACCATATTGCTTTAGTTATATTAAATCAATGATCCTACTCATTTACTTTATTTTATTTGGTAATGTACAAGTAAGGCACACTCCACAGACTTATGGCTTTATCAGAAATCACGTCATAGAATCTCAAAAGCAACAAGTATAAATTTTATCATCTAAAGTCCCCAACCCCTGGGCTGCAGTCAAGTACCCATCTTAGCAAAACAGGGCCACAGATCACCACCTGAGCTCCACTCTCTGCCACTTCCTCCCTCCCGTCTCCACCTCCCCCACTTCTCCAGTCCTCCTCAAGCTTCCTAGCCAGGTCCGTGGAAAAATTGTCTTCCATGAAAACGGTCCCTAGTGCCAAAAAATTTGGGGATCACTAACCTAAAGAAATGTAGACGTGTAGAAACAACAGGGTCCTTGGCAAATATTCTGGCTATTATATATGGCTTACATCATGTTACTTGGTCATTATTAGAACAGCCACATTTAAACTTGACATGAATATCAAGAAATGAAAAGAAAAATAGATGTTTTTATTTATACCAATTTTTAAAAATCCTTCAACAATTATTTCCATTTTTTATTCATAGAGCATAGCATATTGACATAATTACAATATAAATTGATTTTAAAAAATCATTAGCCCTGCCATCATGAAACATACATTCTTATATGAGATACAGACAAAAACCCTGCAACTAAAAATGTAAAATCAGTTAATAAGAGCTCTGAAGAAAATAAATTAGTAGGATAAGAAAACATAGTGATAGACAGGTGCTATTAGATAAAGTAATTAAGAAAGACCTCTCTGAAGAGGTAACATCTAAGCAGAGCACTGAATGAAGTGTGGAAATGAATTATGTGGGAAGAGCATTCTACTACAAATGAATATGCTTTATGTTTTTGGGGATTGACAAGGAGGCCAATGTGGCTGGAGAGCAGTGGATGAAAGGAAGAGGGGTAGGAAATGATGTAGGAGAGGCAGCATGTGACTAGATCAGATAAGGCCTTCTAGGCCATGGTAAAAATTTTAGATTTTATTCTAAGTGTGATCGGAACACAGTGGAAGATTAAAAGCAAAGTGACAGGATCAGATTCACATTTTATAAGGATCACTAGCTATTGTGTGAACAGACTATAGAGGGGAAAGAGTGGCAGCAGACACCTATTGGGAGGCCATTTATTCATACGGTGAATACTTATTGAGCACCTACCAATGACAGACAGTGTTCTAGGTGCAGAGGACACAGCAGTAGGTAGAACAGGCAAAAATACCAGGCCTCCTAGCCTTACATTCTAGTAGGTATTGCAGTAGTGCAGGCAAAAGATGACAGTGGCTTGGACTCAGGTGTAGCAGTGGAAGTAGTGAGAAGGGATCAGATTTAGTATATATTTTCAAGACAGAGGACATGATTTGCTGAAAGAGTGAAAGTGGGGTCTGACAGAGAGAAGTCAAGAATGCCTCCAATGCATTCATCCTAAGCAAGCAGTTGGTACCATTTATTCAGAAAGGAAACACTGCAGCAGGAGCAGGTTCTGGGGGTAAATGCAAGGTTCAGTTTGTGACATGTTAAGTTTGAGATGTATCTTACACATGCATAAAAAACACGTAGGAAGCTGAATATACAGATCTAGAGTTAAGGGGAAAAGGCAGGTCTAGAGATAATTTGGGAGTTAAGATAGTATTTAAAGAAATAAGAATGAAGGAGAATCTTAAGATGAGAGTTACTAGGCATCTGAGTTTTATAAAAACTCTCCTGGTGACTATAATGTGCAGCCAGCAAAACCAATAACCTAAGGATGAGGATAAAAAGAACACAAAGGCTTGAGGAGAGCACCCTGAAATACTTGAACATTCCCTATAAGACATATAAATACATTAAAATAATCCTTATATATCTTATTATGACAAAACTAATATATGTCACAGAATCTTCACCATTTATCAATAAAAATATGATATTTGAAATTGATTTTTATCATCTGAATAAAATGCTTCACTACAAGGCATTCATGGTATAAAGATTAAGACCACATAAATGTGACTCTAGTACTTCCTTTGCTACATTTAAACTGAAAAGAATGGAAATATCCAAAAGAAAAAAAACTATGAAATAATTTTTTAAATTGCTAATATTTTTTTAACTGAGATGGATACTTAGATTATTAATATTTCAGGTTTTCTACTTTTTTAATATGTGCATTCAAATATAATATTTCTTTTTAACACATCTTTAGCTATATCCTACAAGTTTTGTTATACTTAGTTTGTATTACTTCAGTTTAAAATATTTTCTAATTCTTTTTGGTGATTTTCTTCTTGGATGCAAAAGCTGTTTAGAAGTATATTACTTAATATCTAAACACTTGGGGGATTTTCTAAGTTATTTTTTAGATGTCCTTTTCTAAGTTATCATTTTGTAACTGATTAATTCTGTGGTCATAGTAACTGTAATCTTTTGAAATTTATTGAGACACTCTGTGGCCCAGCATATCACCAATTTGGTAAATAACTTGAAAACAATGTGTATTTTACAATTTTTGAGTACAGTGCTCATACATATGTCGATTTTGTTTGTTGTGGCTTATTTTTATAAATTAAAGCCTAAAAGTGGCTTTTTAAGTTTTTAAATCTAAGAATGAAACTAAAAGATGTTTCATAAACTGAAGAAATATAGTGACTATGGAAAATTGAGTTGTATTCTAGGCCTCAAAAGGCATTTAGCAATTAGAATTATTCTCTCAGAATGAACATGTATACACACACATGCTCTTCTTTTCCTGGTATAATAAGCTAATTTATACCAAGTTTCACAAAATTGATGGCAAACTGCTTACCTGATTTTCATCCTGTACTTCCATGCTGTATTGGTCCCCTGGCTGAACTTCTGTGACTTTCTCTCCAAGGAGGAAACCCAGACGAGTCATGAGTGTGTTTGCTGCCTCATCTACAGATGGAGGGGGGCCAAGTTCCTGTTCAGCATCACCTATAACAAGGCAGCATTGAAAAACATGAGTCTTACAAAATGAAAAACTGTCTAGTTTTGCAACTATTCTTACATTCAGTTTGGTCATTTCTTTACTTTTCAGATTCTAAAACAAAAATTACAAGGTCCCTGTCAATAAGCTAAATTTTCCCACTTTTAAAGATTATAACTGATAAAAAGTCGACTCAACTTATCTACTTCAAACACTTTAGTTTGGTAGAATGTTTCTGTAACTTGCTGAATAGGAAAAGACTTCCATTTCTTTGGCAGTTAGCCTTCCAATACAGTCCTAGTCTTGGGATCTAGTTCTCAGCCACAATCACCACTCAAGTTCTTTTATCTTCTTTTTTTTGAAAAATAGTTTGTGTAAATATTCTTTTTTATTTTGAAATAATTTCAAACTTTTAAAAAAGTTTCAAGAATAGTACACATACTATTCCTTAACCATTTGAAAGTTGCAAACATAATTTCACACCATCCCCTGACAGTATTATTTCCTATAAACAAGGACATTTTACAGTACCAACCACAGTACCAACACAGAAATCAGGAAACTAACAATTTGTATTACTGTGATCTCATCTACAGACCCCGTTAAAGTTTTAACACTTGTCTCAATAATGTCTTTTCTAGCAAAAGGATGTAAAATTCAGCATTAGCTATCAATTTTATCTCTTTTAGTCTGGAACAGTTCTTTAGTCTTAACTTTCATGACCTTGACACTTTTAAGGACTTTTAAAAACCGGTTGTTTTGTACAATGTCCCTCAACTGACTTTATCTGATATTACCTCGCGATTTGATTCAGGTTATACGTTATTGGCAGCAATATCACAAAAGTAATGTGTTAACTTTGGTCACTTGGTGATGGTAGTGTCTGCCAAATTTTTCTACTATAAAACTATACTTTTTCCCCTTATCCCTTAAAACACGTTAGGTTGGTGCAAAAGTAATTGCGGTTTCAGACTGAATTTTGAATCATTATAACTAGGCTCAAACACATCTTTATTAATCAAAATAGGAACCATTACAATCAACACATTTTTGCCAATGAGAAATAAGTTTGTTTATCCCTGTAGCATTAAAAAATCTCTACTTCAGGATTCAAAGAACTCTTGGAAAGCATTTTTTGCATCCTGCTGGTTGTGGAAACGTTTTCTGCAAAAAGTTGTTGGGATGCTTGAAGAAGTGGTAGTAAGTTGGCGAGAGGTCAGGCAAATATGGTGGATGAGACAAAACTTTGTAGCCCAATTCATTCAATCTTTGAAGTGTCAAGTTGTGCGGGGTGCAGCTGGGCATTGTTGTGGAGAAGAATTGGGCCCTCTCTGTTGACCAATGCTGGCTGCAGCCACTGCCATTTTCGGTGCATCTCATTGATTTGCTGATCATACTTCTCAGATGTAATGATTTTGCCAGGATTCAAAAAGCTGTAGTGGACCAGATCCGCAACAGACCACCAAACAGTGACCATGACCTTTTTTTTGGTGCAAGTTTGGCATTGGGAAGTGCTCTGGAGTGGAGCGTCTTCTCCTCGGTTCAACTGCTGAGCTGGTCGTCTCCAATTGTCATATAAAATCTACTTTCTTTTGCATGTCACAATCTGATTGAGAAATGGTTTGTTGTAGTTGCATACAAAAAGGGAAGATGACACTTCAAAATAACAATTTTTTAAATTTTCGGTCAACTCATGAGGCCCCCACTTATCCAGCTTTTTCACATTTCCAATTTACTTGGTTAACGTTGAGTTCTTTGGCAACTTTTCATGTAGCTAGCTGTAAGAGGATCAGCTTCGATGATTGCTCTCAATTGGTCATTGTCAACTTCCGATGGCTGGCCACAGAGCTCCTCATCTTCAAGGCTCTCATCCCCTTTGCAAAACTTCTCAAACCACCCCTGCACTGTACATTCATTAGCAGTTCCTGGGCCAAATGCGTTGTTGATGCTGTCAGTTGTCTCTGCTGCTTTTGATCCATTTTGAACTCAAATAAGAAAATTACTGGAATTTGCTTTTTGTCTAACATCATTTCCACAGTCTAAAATAAATATAAACAGCAAGTAATAAGTCATTACCAAAAAAATAAAGTGAGAAATGCATATTAAAATAATGTATAATATTAACTTAAGAATGTATTCCAGTATCAAATGGCAAATTTCAACAATGCTAATACCATAATTACCTTTGCATCAGGCTAATATTTTGTACGGGACTATCTTGAGATTGTGTAAATATTCCATTCCTCAACAAACTTTTTTTTTTTTTTTTTGGAGACAGGGTTTCACTCTGTTGCTGGGGATAGAGCATAGTGGTGTCATCAGAGCTCACTACAACCTCACATTCTTGGGCTCAAGCGATCCTCCTGCGTCAGCTTCTCCAGTAGCTGGGACTACAGGCACGTACTATCACGCCTGGCTAATTTTTCTATTTTTTGTAGAGACAGGGTCTCTTGCTCAGCCTGGTTTTGAACTCCTGACCTCAGGTGATCCCTCAACAAACTTTTAAATGAAAAATAAAATTTTGTGGTAAAATATACATAACAAAATTTGTCACTTTAACCATTTTTAGGCATATGATTCATTGGCATTAAGTACATTCACAATGTCATAAAACCATTGCCACCATCCATTTCCAGAACTTTTTCATCATTCCAAAAAACTCTCTACCTGCAAAAACAATAACTTCCCATTTCCTCCTCTCATCAGTCCCTGGTAACCTCTTTACTACCTTTCTGCCTTTATGAATTTGCCTGTTCTAGGTACCTCATGTAAGTGGAATCATACAATGCTTGTTCCTTTGTGTTTGGCTTGTCTCACTTAGCATAATGTTTTCAAAGTTCACTCATGTTACATATCAGAATTTCATTCCTTTTTATGGCTGAATAATATTCCAATGCATATATACACCACTATTTAATTTATCCCTTCATCTGTTGTTGGACTCTTGGGTGTTTGTTTCCAGCTTTTGTGAATAATGATAGAACAAACACTGGTGTAAAAATATGTTTGAATTCCTCTTAAATAAACTTTTGTCCACTATTCTCAGTATCCATTCATGTTTCTTGGTTGAATTTATTACTATCGTGCTTGTCAAATAGGGATTTTTCTAAGTTCATTTTTTTTTTACCTCATTTATCTATATCAGTATGAACTCACTGATTTCTATCTTTTTCAATGAGTTATAATCTGTTATGATAAACATCATTATTACTTTTTGCTCAAATTGTTCTAGACTTCGCCAGGGTAAGCCCCTAATTTGGTTCCTATGAGCTTTTGACATATCCTTGTCATTTTCTGGGCACTTCTTTGCTTTCTGGCACGCAATTTTCCAGGCTCCTCTTTCCCTCCCCCAGCCTGGAATCAGGCATTTTTCCAAGAAACCCTGGTTCTTCTTAGAGGAGAAAGGTATTTAAAATACTGAGAGCTGGGCACTGCATATACTCATTGTTATTAGGATATCACTATCCTCCAGATCCACTCACTGGCAAAATATATGAATGCTGATTAAAACTATTTAAACTTGTAGCTTTTGGTTTTGTTTTGGCTGTTCGTAAGCAGTGCGTTTGTGCATTAGACTTTGCTCCCAGAACACTGGGTGAGGAATATAGCTCCATGAAGACTAAGGGATTCTAGATTTTACATGGAACTGGAAAGGTCCAGGAGTAGTAAAGAAAATTTGAAGAAAAATGACATATTACTTAACATTGAGATTTAATATAAAGCTAAAGTAATTAAGACACAGTAAGACTGACACAAGCATAAAAAAAACGATCAATGGAACAAAATTTAAAAATCCAGAACCAGATCTATACATACACAATCACCTTATTTAGGACAAAAGTGCCACTGCAGTGCTTCAGTAACATGATAGTATTTTCTTTCTTTCTTTTTTTTTCAGACAGAGTCTCACTCTGTAGCCCAGGCTAGAGTGCCATGGCGTCAGCCTAGCTCACAGCAACCTCAAACTCCTGGGCTCAAGCAATCCTCCTGCCTCAGCCTCCCGAGTAGCAGGGACTACAAGCATGCGCCACCATGCCCCGCTAATTTTTTTCTATATATATTTTTAGTTAGCCAATTAATTTCTTTCAATTATTAGTAGAGACGTGGGGTGGGGGGTCTCACTCTTGCTCAGGCTGGTTTCGAATTCCTGACCTTGAGTGATCCACCCGCCTCAGCCTCCCAGAGTGCTAGGTTTATAGGCGTGAGCCACCGCGCCCGGCCACATGATGCAAAATTTAATGATAAATCAATATAATATCCATGTGGAAAAGTAAATCCCATCCCTACACAAATACCAATTCCAAACAGATGACAGACCCCAAAAGTAAAGCAATAAGTCTTCTGGAAAATAACCTAATAGAATATATCTTTATGATCTAGAACTAGGCAAATATTTCTTAGGACAAAAAAGGTAATAACCATAAAAGAAAAGATTAGAAAAGTGAAGTTCATTAATAAGAACTTCTGTTCACCAAAGACACCACTGCATGCATAGAGTAGGAGAACCCCTACAAATCAATAAGAAAAAGATAATCCAATTTTTAAAGTGGACAAAATCTCTATATAGAATTTACAAAAGAGGAAATCCAAATGGCATATAAATAAGCATATGAAATATGCTTATTTCATAAGCATATGAAAAGGCGTTCAACATTACTAGGAGATTGAAATCAAAATCATGGTGAGACACCATTACACATGTGCAGTGCAGAATGGCAAAGCAAAAAGGTACTTGACAACATGGGGTAAAGGAATGCTTAAACACTGGTGGGCTGATGGAAATGCAAATTGGTAGTATCAAATTTGTAAAAACTGGCATTTTTAAGGTGAACATACTGAAACCTTATGACTAAGTTCAATACTAGTTATATACACCCCAAAAAGTATACATAGGTGCATCTAAAGTCATGTAATAAATGTTTATAAAATTGTTCATAATAGCCCAAATTGAAAATGTTCATCAACAGTAGATATGCAATGAATATGACAGCAAGAAAAAAGAATCTCA